GGACATCGTTAAAATAGTCCATGTGACATCAGTGGTTCAACCTTAATTTTATGAAGCTACAAGTATACAATGCTTTTTGTGTGCAAAGAAAATAAAAATAACGACATTCAACAATTTCTTCTCTGTGTCAGTCTTCAACACGCATTCACAAGAGTACCACGATGCATGTGTGTGATGCTGCTGAAGCAGGAGCCAGTGCTCTGATGTATTCTCATAGCTTCATAAAGCTTCATAAAATTAAGGTTGATCCACTGATGTCGCATGGACTATTTTAACGATGTCCTTACTACCTTTCTGGGCCTTAAACGTGCTGTCTATGGAGGGTCAGAAAGCTATTTTTATTAATGACAGAATTTTCATTTTTGTGTGAACTATCCCTTTAAGAACATTAGCTAACATTATTACCTAATATAGTAGATAATTTGCAAATGTTAATTTTGTTCAAAATGGCATGAATATATAAGAAAACTGTTAATAACTTTTTTCACAGACTCGCTGATGTGTTTTAATTCACCCCCAGGAGGCTGAAAACTGGATTTAATGTTTGATAATAAGCCTGTGTTTTATGTGTTTTAACGTGTATCCTCAATGTAAATGAAGATGTTTCCTATTGAACAGACAGTTCCATAACTTTACAATATCAAATGCTAAAAACAATGAGATTTGGTGTCCTTAAATTCAGCTGCATTGAGTGAGGTAAAAGCATATGGTTTTTAATTCTCTTTCATGGGCAAGACATTAGCCAGTCCCATCTGGTGCACACTGGCTCATTCAGACATTCCAAGAAGCATATTGCTGTTCGTTTGTATGTTTCTCTATTGGCACCATCTGCATTAATGGAAACTGAGACAAAAGGAAATAATGACAGTTCACACAATCATATGTTGCTCAGCGTTCCTGCAGTGGTGGATAATGGAGCAGAAAAGAGTTCAAGCTTGATTAAATGGATTCACTAGCAACTGTGAAACCATTTCTGAAGGATGCTGGCTGGAAATCGCAACAGAAGGCAATAACAAAATTGTCTAATTGCCATCAGTTGACGGAGAACAAATTGTTTTAGTTGAAAAGACCACGCCAAGAGATCTGCAAGTAGACTTTGTTGGCCCAGTTTAATATGAAGATAAAAATCACAGCTGAAGGCAAGAGCACTTAGGCTCAGACAGATATTTGCATAACTAAATTAAGGTTAGGCTCTTTTTATGCAATCAACACATTTTTCAACTATAGAGGACATGTTCAACAAGAGATGTGTTATTTATTTCAGCAGTAATTAAGGTTAACCAACCTATAAAAGTTAAGGTAAAAGTAATGGATTTTTTATGCATAGCAAACCTTGAATATCCCATAATTCATGAGCTGTCTCCTTGATTTCTTAATCAAGTAACACACATTTTCAACTTCAAATTCAGTTCATTTTCAATTCATTTTCCGTTTTCCCAGTGATCAGCTTTAAGGTCCCAGACACAGAAGTAAACATTTTCAGAGGAGCAAGAAGGTATAGTCAGACTTCACCTGGCTGAGGAATTCGATTCGTTCAATGAAACGAAGAGCGCACCTACCCACAATGCCGTCTGTCCTGACTTTGGCCTGGAGCGGGTTTGTTTCATTTGACATGCTTGGCAGGTCAGTGAACTGAGGTCTGTGGCGCTCATGAGCTTCCTCCCAGCTCTTTCTCTTCCATCAACTCAACACACTACAGATATTGACAAGAAACGGCTTTGAATTTGGCAGTGTAGGGATATTGGGGGGAATGTGTCCCTTTTGGTGTTTTTGGTGGTTATAGAGAGGAAATACATGCAAATATGTCATGGCCAATGCTGCCTCCTCCATATTCTCGAGTAAACCCTGCCTGCCTTGAGCGAGAGATCTGTCTCAACAACACATGCTAAAGGAATGAACCCCTGATAAAACCCTGGACAAGTCTTGAGAAAACCAGCTGGACGGAATAACCAGAGCTGCTCTTGAGACTCTTGAAGAATAGATCTCAAATCAAAAGGGCAGTTTTGAGAAGGATCCAGCCACCTCTGGAAATCAGAAGATGCTTGACTTTTGCTTGAGTCTGTTGTTTGATTGAATGAGGTTTCTGAGAGCCACTCAAAATCACAGGCCCAGTGAAATGGCCAATATACAACCTTTTTGTTTATACTATATTTTGTATTACTATATATGCACAATATTTTGTTTATAATACTATATAATCTTCACAGAGAGTTTCTCCACTCCTGGAAGCTTCTGCCTATAAGTCTCAGCTTGTTTCACAAGTTCACAAGAAGCACTTAAAGTTAAAAGTTGTTTTTTATTTTTTATTAGTATTTAACATACAGTTCACTGGCGACATCTGGTGTTCATGAATAATCTCTCCAGTTTCTCCGGTTGGTTTTCTATCTTACTGTAAAATGCTTCAGGCAAGAGCGCCACACACTGCTTTCAAGATATTATTTCGTTTAATGAGGCATAACATGTCATAATTCTATTCAATAAATCTATTTCAAATGCTTAAATGCATTCCACTCATATGGTTCATTGGAACCAACACGTTATTTCTATAATGATTTATTTCTCTTATATAATCAATATTTAATTTAGTCTGAAGTGAACCCTTCATTTAATTTAATAGTCTGACGTAATTCCACTATTACACAATTTCTTCTTTTATATCAAATGCAATTTTTGTTCTTCTTCTTAGTTTAGATTAGTTTACATGTCATATTATTACTTTGACACTTTTATTATTACTTATCGATGCAGATAAAAGATCATTAATTATGAAATATTTATTAATAATAACAATAATAAAATGCATGTGATGCAAAAGAAAAACAGTGTCATTATTTTAGAAGTATTGTTAATTATTTCTATCTTAAACCTAAATTAATGGCTCACTGCCGGCTGAAATATTATTTTTATTAGTAGTTATAGACTAGTAGTAGTTTAGATTGTTAATTTACACTTTTCTTACTGTTTTATTATTACTTTGATCAGTGCAACATGTGATTATTGTTAATTACCTAAATTAATTATTATATTACAAAATATCTACATCCATTTTCTTGCTAAAAAGTGTTCGTTGTCCTGTGCAGACCAGGTAAAACCATATATATGAATATCTTTTGTTGAATGACATTTCTTTTCAAACAAAACTAATCTATAGAACAATTTGCCACCGGAACTATCTCACGAATGTAAAAGATCAGGGGACACGTTTACAGACGCGCCAAGTGCAGCGCTTCCGGTTCACTGTTGGCGTCTGTTAAACGGGTGACACAAGTTTAGTTTTTTAGCCATACAGCTCTTTTCGGATTTGTCTCTTGCTTTGAGGACAACTGCCACTGGAGTTTTTAGCGTGCAGAGATCTGTGACCGTCCTGCCACGCTTGCGTCCCATGAACGCAGTGAAGATCCGAGGACAACAGCGGAGCCGCAGCGATGGAGTAAAGGACAGTGAGAGTCAGCCGTTTGACGAGACCCTCCTTGAATTTCTTGTGTGTCCACTGTCCAAAACCCCCCTGAGGTATGATTGTTTATCATGCATAATAGTATTACCTTATGATGGGACATACAGTAGTTAACTCACTGACATGTTGATGTTGTAAGTTGCACTGAGTAAATACAGCTTGATAAAATAAGAACTGTCTTGTCTTCATTTCAGGCTGCAAAACAACAAAATGTGATTTATTTGTCACTATATTTCCTTCGGACAAATATCATAGATACAATTTATATCATATTTAGAATTTGTTACTTATTATATATGTGTGTGTGTATTACAATTAAACTAATATTATAAGCTATTTTTAAAAAAGGCAGACAAATGACAAAAAGGAGATCTCATATTTAATATGGTTTTTATAGTAACTGTATTATTGTGTTTTTGCATAAACTGTATGTGATATATTTTTGAAAGGCATGTTTAGATTGTTTATCAGCAATACTTATACATGTATTCGCTTCTGATGTTTTCAAGGTATGATGAAAGGAGCAACGAATTAATAAACGAAGAGCTTGGTATTGCGTATCCCATCATTGATGGTATTCCTAACATGATCCCACAAGATGCAAGAATGATCCATAAGAGCAAAGCGACTGGAAAACCCACTGAATCTTGAGTTTATAAATCAAATTTGTCATTATTCGTTTTCTGCCACTATGTTTTTCTCCTTGTCTACAGTGACTGTTCTTGTCCCACTCATATCCTTGTCTGGACTGTTTTACTCTGCAGCTGTGGATGAAAATTTCCCTCAAGGCTGCACGAGTGCAAGCAGTGTGTGTTTTTACAGCCTGCTGTTGCCAGTAACAATTCCTGTTTATGTTTTCTTTCACCTTTGGAAGTGGATGGGAATCAAGTTGTTTAGACACAATTAAGACTGTAGTTTCGTTTTTTCCACAGACTATTTTAATTGGACAAATTGTTGTGAACAATGCTTGCTTGTAAACACAGTGAAGATTCATATTTAAGAACATTGAATAAACATTGAAGCGAACAATGTAAAATACAAAATAAAACCGCAAATAACAAAGCTTTGACTTTTCATGTATGTGCACAGAACTCTGCTTTTTTTTCCCATTGTGAATTTGTGAATCTTAGCTTTGTCTGATTTTACTTCATCTTTTTCTCAACACTTTCCGTGAGCTTCATCAAAGGGCATATGGGCTTGGGTGAATCTTCGCCCTTCACCTTAAAAAAGAAAGACTCGTTCAAGCGGGTCTGGATGACCTTCAGCTGGGGCAGATCACCTTTGGCCTTTGGCACCATATCGCCGTCTTCACTTGACGTGTCTGATATCTTCAGCTTGGGTGGTTTCGCAGAATCTACAGCGGATTGTTTTGGGCCGTGCATTTGTCTTGTTCTGTTCAGCAGGCTCAGGTCTACCGGTTCCTCTGGGCTTTTGCATGTGTTCTGCTGCTGCTGAAACCTGAGAGAGGTGGTGAGTGCTGGTAAGGTAAAGAAGTTTTCGGTTTGAGTGGTTGCTTCAGCTGTCGACCTAGATGAGCGATTCTCTGGCACCTTCACGGTAGTGGCCTCACTGCAGCTTGAGGTGCTGGAGATCTCCACATATGGATCCAAGAATGATTTCTGTGTAATAAACAGGTCTTGGCTGTTCATTTCTTCAGCTGTGATGGATTCCAAGCTGCTTTCACCAACAAAACGTTTGCTGTGGCTCGTCTTTCTGAATTCTTCATCATTTGTCTTTGCAGCTTGGCTCTGCTCAGGTAGCAAGTTGAAAATTACTCTCTTTTTACATTTCACGCTTCTATAACACTCCTTCTCAGTTGAATGTAGTGTCTCCTGATCAGGGGAGATGTAGATAACAGGCTGAATTTGGTGCATATCTTCGGGTTGTTTGAGCTGTTTATTTAATTTAGGTTGCGGAAAGTCTTCCTTCGGTTTGCTTTTCTTCTTTGGCTTTTTTCTTTTCTTGATGTCTTGCATTTGTGTAAACACTGCCTCATGGCAGCCATCGTGCAACAAAAAGTCAGGCACACGCTTTTTGCTCTTATCCTTTTTTTCCTTTTTCATTTTCTTGTTTTTGTGTTTCTTGGATGCTTTGAAGGCACTCTCAGCATTGGAAATATTCTTCATTGTTGGGAGAGAAGCCATTTCTTCTACAAAATCAGAGTAACAAAAAAGAAAAGGGGTTATATTACCAATTATTATTATTATCGGTGTTGAAAACAGTTGTGCTACTTAATATTTTACTGGGAATGGTGATAGCTTTTTTTTTTATGATTCTTTGATTAATAAAAAGTTACACCAAAGAACAGCATTTCTTTACTATCACTTCTGATTAATTGAATGCATTGTTGCCAAATAAAAGTTTTTTTTGTTGTTGTTTTTTTAACATTGATAATAATAATAAATGCTTCTTCAGCACCAAATCAGCATATTAGAATGATTTCTGAAGGATCATGTAACACTGAAGACTGGAGTAATGATGCTGAAAATTCAGCTTTGCATCACAGGAGTAAATTACATTTTAAAATATATTTAAATAGAAACAGTTGTTATAAATTGTAGTAATATTTCACAATGTTACTATTTTTGATCAAATAAATGCAGCTTTGATGATTTCTTTCAAAATCATTAAAACAACCCTAATTATTCCAAACTTTTCATCGGCAGTGTATGTACAGATATGCGCATATGTAAAACTGCATGAATATAAATATGTATTTACATAACGTGTATCTATCGCTATATACATGCATGCTTAATATACCTGGTGCAATTAAACAAACATTTATGTAATCTGATGGGAAAAACCTGAAGGCTCTACCATAAGTTATAGGATAATTGTTAGTGAATACTCACATGCATGCAGTGAAATGTCCTATATGATCTGTTTCTTTTCCCCAACAACACCTGTTAATGACATAAAATGCATTTAATTCAAATGTGTGGAATTATATTTTTCAATTTTTTTATAACACCTACCTGATTTAGATTCACCTTTTCTCTCAGACAGATGGACCTTAAAAGTACAAGAAAATGTAACAGTAATGAGGAGAGCAGACTTGTGGTTACATTTGTTGAGAAACGTTGTCGCTAAAGTTCAATGCTACAGTTCATCGCGACGTCATTCTCCACAGCAACATTTGATACAGAAAGCTACTTGTTTAACTGCTCGCCCTTAGCGACCAAATGTCTGACAAAGTGCATTTTATTTAAAAGTATTTAATGTATTCTTGTGTTTTGGCCCTAAACCAAAAGGAAAACTGGCATGTACTTACCTGTTTTGCTAATTGACGAAATACACTCGCATATTTTTGCGCCAATTACCGCTTCCGTGTATTGCCGACTGCGCATGCGTTGTACGACATTTTCGAGCATTAATGAACAGCACCTATTCTAATAAATAAAAAAAAATTAAATAAATTCTAAAAACAAACTACGTAAAAAGACAGTTACTGCTAAGAAAAACTGTTCGCAGTGGTGTGTACTGAAAACGTGCCATTTCATAAATCACGCTGTTACCGTGACGACGAAGAGCTACGTAACCTTTCTATCTTAAGTCCATTCAAGAAAGTTCTCTGTGCGTCACTCAGCTTGTCAGGCAACTATTTTCACTGCTGGAGAAATCCCTTTCTCACATAAAGGGCGCTTTTTGTAGCTTTTCTTCTTAGAAATAGCTTCCGTGGTCTATCACGTCAGCAAACAGCAGCTAAAATGATTTTTACTGCCATTCTTTTTACGGTCCAGTGGGAATATCGTATGTGAACCTGCATTAAATGTGTTACTAATGTCTTTCCACTCCTTAAACAGTTTCTGTGAAGCTATAAGGTTGAATCAACCAGCGTCACTAGTTGAAAAAAGGTCACCAAGTTCAAGTTTTATTCGCCAAAGAAAAGACATAAATTTGGATTTAGTTCTTCCCAAAATCTTATAAGAATACATTTACATTTTTTGTTTGCTTGCCACGATGTTGTAATATTTACTGTGATTTTTATATGATTTGATTATCATTTGTTCTGTGAATTATATTGCATACTGCACTTATTAGGACACTGCATTATTTTTTTCTGTTTGATTGGTAGTACATTGTACATCTTTTCTATGTTTATACTATGCATCTATAGCATCTATAAATACAAAAAATACATTCCAGACCTGTCTTCTATTCTATTCTGTTCTATTCTAATACTTTGCACATTGTACATATCTCCAATATTTAAACTATGTATCACAAAAATAAACGCTAGAACTGTCTCTATTCTATTTTATTCTATTCTATTCTAATACATTCAACATATCTTCTGCTTATACTACGTATCATAGCTGTAAATACAAAAATACTTGCCAAACCTGTTTCTATTCTATTCTATTCTATTCTGTTCTATTCTATTCTATTCTATTCTATTCTATTCTATTCTATTCTATTCTATTCTATTCTATTCTATTCTATTCTATTCTATTCTATTCTATTCTATTCTATTCTATTCTATTCTATTCTATTCTATTCTATTCTATTCTATTCTATTCTATTCTATTCTATTCTATTCTATTCTATTCTATTCTATTCTATTCTATTCTATTCTAATACTTTGCACATTGTACATATTTCCTATATTTATACTATGCATCACAGCTGTAAATACAAAATACACACCAGAACTGTCTCTATTCTATTCTATTCTATTCTATTCTATTCTATTCTTTCAGTCTTTCAAACATCTAACATTTTTTTTCAACAAAAGCAAATCTTGTTGCATTTGATTTTGATGTGCTACATCAGAAAAAATTGCTATAAAAATCACATTACACAAATTACGTTTTATAAAATATTGTAATAAGATCTTAAAACATTTTTAGAACCAAGATTTAATGCTAATACCCCCTTTTTGTGACTAGACTGTTTCACCTGTCGTCAGATGCTGTCAGATGCCAGCTATTAATATATATTGCCATTCATTTTAGTCATCAAATGTTGTATTCAAGTCAACCCATGTAATAAACATTTTACCAGTCAAAAAACCTTGAGAAAAACTAAAAATAGCCACATGGTGACACTTAATATAGATTCAATTCACTGTGTCACAAGGGCCTGCATATGGCTTTTACACCTGTGGGATGATTGCATTGGGTGTCCTTAGGTGACTTGATATTCTCCCCCTGAATTCTCCTGAATAATCATGTGTAGTGGTAACACACACTGTTGATGACATGACCTGCATTGATAAAGCATGAGGTAATGAGAACTACAGTTCTGGGGTTGAAAGGTACCCCCTCCTGCCTCTAAAGGGTCTAAATACTGCTGAGGATTGTTAGGACTGTGCTAGGGATCTCATGCAAGGGTCAAAGGTCTATTTATTTGGTGGGTGTCATCTAAACAGGCCATGCCCACTTCAGCCCATACACAGTACTGCAGAAGACCAGGATGGGGTCAAACATCTTCAACATGTGGGCCTTGTCAGCCACAAATCTTGCAAATCTGGTATGTAAACAACTTTAATTGCTTGCCACCTGCGAAGTTTGTTTTACAGAATGCCAGAGGATGAAACAGTAGCTCATGGACAGGTGCAATGCACAAGATGCAGTGAACATCTCTAGAATAAGCAGTATTGGATACAGCTTACATGAACTTTGCTGGGTATTGCATTAAAACGCAGATATTGGGTGAAAATCCTCTATAATTTACAGACTGAAGGGATGCTTATTGTCTCATATGTCCTCAGACTGCCTGCTCCCTGTCGTCATACACCCCATTTTTTCTCCAGTCAGAAGCCCTTAGCTTGGAGAGAAACCTTAACCACGAGGTAAGATCTATGGGTCAGACCTGTTTAAGTACTCAAACACACTCTGTGTGTCATGACATAACCATTCCTGGGCTACATTTAGAAAACTTCGCTCATAGTTACCTAATCTGTCATCCAGTGGCCATAAAAGTATAGGACAGAGCCTTCCACCTCCCTGGGTGCCCCTCTGGACACCTGTGAGTGCAGCAGGTTCTTTGGCTGGATTACCACCTGATAGAAAACATGTAGCAGCTGCTAGTTGCAATTTATGAATGTGCTTTTTTGTACAGTTTCAGAAGAAATCTGGAAAAGTTTTTATTGGTCTAGATGGATGTAGTATTATTTCAGAGATGTTGCACACAGACCCATGGAAAAGTATGCTTATAAACAGGGTTGTTTATACAAAATATATAATATTCTATCAATATTTACTATTTATGCAGCCTTTTCTAATGTCCTAATGTTAAAGTGTTGGCCAAACATGTAGATCATAATAAAATCAAGCACAGGCAGCAAACAATTTAGATTTCAGTGGGAATTTTGGTAATAATAATATTTGCTGCTCATAATATAATAATATAATATAATGTAATATAATATAATATGATATAATAATATTTTAGAAATATTTTGCTATCTGATTTAAATAACTGAGCATTAAGGCGTTGGTAGTACTACCAAACTAAAATTACATTTATTAATGTATTTATTCATTTTCATTCTCTATTAACATTTTTCTCCTTTGGAATGAAAAACCTTTTGGAGTATTTTACATTTTTATTTGTTTATTGTTTTATAATTTGTTAAGGTTAATGAAATTGTAGGCTACCACTAATTAACGCACAGAAGTTCACATTTGGGGGCGGGTTTTCAAGTGAAGGTGACGAGGGCTGAATTATTGGTGGCGTTGAAGAGGTGTTGTCACGCGCATTCTTCATCAAGGCACAGGGTGACATCATCACTAATAATGAAGTCGGCTCATCAATGGACACAGTGCTATAAAAGGAACTCACCCTGTGAACTGTGAACCAATTCTGATGTGAACTGAAAGGCTGATGCACGAACTCCTGCAATCTGTATACCAGCATGGTGAGTTGAGTATTTAGTAAATGGTGTTGTTGTTGTTTTATTTGTCACTACAATTAAATATTACAGTTATAAAATTATGATTACAATAAACTCGTTTACGTTTAATTCACAGGTTCATAAAATGGTTTCCATTCATCTTGGATTTTTGGAGAAAACAGTTGTACTTTTCTCCATCTGCTTATTATTCTATTCAACACATGCAGATAGCAAGCCACTGGGGTAAGCATACTGTACAGTACATTAATATTTTTTCCAATTCAGTAAAAAAAAAGTTTTTGTTTGAATGTATGATAATGTAGCCTATTTATTTATTTTATTTATTATTTTTTCATCAAAAAGCAAAAGGGCTATCAATGAAGTCCAGCTTATGCACAACCTCGGGGTACATAAACATGTGGAACTGAGACAAGACTGGCTTCAGATTAAACTGCGGGAAATCCACACTGCCTCAGAGAAGAAAAACGAAGACAAAACAGGACTTTTTCCAGATATTATTCCCAAACTGACGGATCTAAATCCAATGGAAGCTGAAGATATCATTGCAGTTTTGGAAAAACTTATGAACCCATCGTAAAAACAGAATTTGTTTAATGCGATTTACTACTCAGGGACTGAAGTCAAGCCATTCTGTTCAGCCTTAATAATTGTATTAACAATATTTTTTTTCTATAGATAATTTATTTATATTTTTATGTAGTTTCCATCATTTTTAGCGGCTAAGCCGTACCAGCTCAAAGCTCTTCTATGTATGTATTCGTTATTTGATCGTAACATAGGCTAGATCTATTAACTGAACCCAGAAAAAAGGAAAGGCAGTCGGACCAAATGTTTCTTAAGAAAAAAATTGAGAAAAGTATAATAGAAAAGTCTTCTATTTATGATTAAAAAAATTTACATTAAAAAAATTCACTGTTGTGTTAAATGTCTCACATCGCGCACCTTACATTTAGGTTTTAAATTTATTTCTACTTTTTTCGTTTTTGTTGTATTTCTGTTATAATAACTTTAATTATTATTATTTAAATACACCCTCTGTATTCTATTGTTGTATGTGCCTTTTATGGCACCATGTCTCAAAAGCAGCTTGTTCACCCACAGCATTTGATTGTACGCAAGGTGGTTTCTATGGCGACGTCCCGTGTGCTCTCGCGAGATTCGGCTTAGTTAACTTATCTCCTTGGTTAGCCATGTAGCATCCCCATATCTGTCAACAGTGTGTCTCATCGTGAATGGTGAGGAACAATCTAAAGCAAAATCATGCTAGCTATCAATTTCTGTCAAAAAGATCAGCGTTTAGCAGAGACAGGTGAGAGATCGTCTGTGTTTGTTTAGCCCTCACTGTTTAACGCTAACTTATAAGCTAACTAACGTTAACGTTAGATAGCTTAGTGAATGAGGTTACCTAGATTGGAGTACTTGGTCCGTTTTGTGGGCTTTTTGGAAACTTTATTTGTTACTAGTTCAACAAATAGTTAAACGAATACTTGTGGAATTGTACTTCTACTTAAACATTATC